ACAGGATCATACATGTACACAGGATCATACATGTACACAGGATAATACATGTACACAGGATAATACATGTACACAGGATAATACGTATACACAGGATCATACATGTACACAGGATCATACATGTACACAAGAAAACACATATATTCACACTTATACTGTACAGCTCTGTGTCATAAAGATCATCGTCAATTTTTTTTAAACAAACAAACATAATAGAGCACTGCAGGAACAAACAGGTGAAAATGCGAACGTCCTTTGTCGTTACCTCCGACAGGTAGCTCTCCTTTACAGGACAGGCAAATTTTCTCTTTATAAGCTCCTCATTGAAACTGCGTTCCGTCCCGTTGGGCAGACGCGCTACCAGGTGGACTCTCAGCACGTGGTTGACCACCGAGTAGACCTGCGCAACGTTGCACAACATTACACAATATCGTGCAACAGTAAACACAACATCGCACAACAGTAAACATAACATTGCAAACTACATTCTTCTTCCTCATCCTCTTCCATGCTATAGCAACCTACATCACCTGAAGATTTCTCATACACTAGCCCAAACATTGCAGGCGGTGCCAACTCACATACAAAATGTTCCTGGTAGTTTTCACGCAGGAAAGCCCAGTGGTATAACAAACACTCTTACTGTTTGCGCGTATTACCAAATTACCATGCTTTGATTGATTGCACAAGCACACTGCACTGCGTTCTGACAGGTCAAACTTGGATTAGGTTAGATTAGATTAGATTACTGGTTCCATCAGTTTTGGGTATTCCAAACCACGACAACCCACCCACCGATCAGGCGCGCAACGTGAAACTAGGACACCTCGGTACTAAGCCTTATTAACACACCTTACCTAATTAACCTCGACGACCTCGTCTCGTCTTACCTTGGCGAAGACGACGACACCGTAGAGCAGCTGCTTGAAGAGTGTGTCCGACGACTCGTTCCACTCTCCGTTCGGACACATAACAGGCGACGGCTGAATCTCAGCCAGTATGCATTCCATGGCCTACAACACACGCGACGACGAACGCTCAGCACGGTACACACGATATCTAGCACATGTAACCATTACACAAACCACAAAACAACCAATAAAAACTCGTCAAAAACAACATGGTCGTTAAGAAGCAGGGTAGCCGCGCATAACCTCAATAAGCAACGTTAAGACGTGGAAAGCTTCTATTTTTTTGCGCACTTATGCACCATTTCATGCACTTTTGTAAGCAGGCATTGAAATCACATTTGAAAATTGCAGACAGCGATGACCTCGCGACACACGGAAATCCGATGGCTTTCCCTCGCGTGCTAACGACGCGTCTCACCTGAGACGGAAGCTCCCGGAGGTCGGCTGGCATCTCTCGCAACATGTTCCGAGCGACCACCTCCGTATTTCCGTAGTCGACGAAGAACACAAGCACGTGCTGGAAGGCACACAACACTACGTTAGACACTCGCGCGCGCACTGCGAACGATGACGAAAACACATTCTCCGTATGCTAAGCACGAACGCTACTGACACCACCACGAGTGTGATGACAAAGACTCTCTGTGCACGGTCGTTCCCTCACTCTCATTGCTGTATATCTTACACATGAATCCACGAACCTCTGATCAAAGTTCCCTCTGCTCTGGCCCAGCCAACCACTATCCCACTGCATGCACTCCCTCCCTGGACACCACTAACCTCCCTCACTATACAAATCTACAACACGCATAGTTCCACGTTCAATCGTTTTGTCCGTTAATAATATGAAATATTATATTGCCCTAAACACATGGACCTACGAAAGGTCACGAGTGAGTCACTGTACCAGAATGATGCACCCCTTAATAAAACTTTAAGGATAGTCACTGTATTAAAAGGGTACGAGTACTGAACCTGATGCAGTGCCTAAACTTAAATAGTGAGCGAGAGTTCTTGGTTAAAGAGCATGGCACTATGGTAGCCACTTCTAATATAGCAAACTGATAATGCAAGATATTTTTCCAGTTTCCAGGAGTTTTCCAAGTGTTAAAAAAGTCCATTTTCACATGATCACAAGATTTTTGTTTGAATACATACCTGCACAAAACTCTTACACAAAACAAATTTCATTGCCTCTTTGCATGAGATATAAACAAGCTCAATTTCAAGGACTTAGAGAGGACCAAACACAACAACAGCTCTAACATCTTCTAAAATTCTCATTAATCTCTAAAACCCGTAAAATCAAACAATAACAACAACCAACTTCCCGGTCATTCCAGCACTCATCTTCCAGAAATTTTCCAGGATCCCGAAAATGCCACCTCGAAATTCTCGTACACCCCAGGTCTTTCCCCCGGGGGGGGGGACTACCACTCGTACTACTACCCCGGCAGGAGCGCGTCTCAAAGCGTACGCACGCACCTGAGCGTTGACGATCTTGTCGATGGTTGCGCGGTAGTAGTCGACGTGGTCCGTGCTCGGATCCAGGTACGGTGCGAGGCAGGGCATGTCCAGCAGAACGGGCTGCAGCAGCTGCGGGCGGTAAAGCATCACGTAACGTGAGCACCGCCGCAACGAGGCGACGCTCCGACGAAACGACACTGTTTACGCGTAGTCGCGAGATCGCACTGACGATGTTATCAGGGGTGTATAATATAGATATATCTATATTATACACTCCTGGTGTTATCAGGGCGAGTGCAAGTTGCGCCGCAAACTGCGTGTGCTAGTTCGGCACTGCTTGGTTGGTGAGCGGTGGTAAGCAGCAAATAAGCGTACTATAAAACTGCCAGCTTGAAGTAGGCCTACACTTTCGTCGGAAACACGTATATCCTTCAGTGTTTATATTATATTTTTGGTTATTACATTATTTTAACTTGATTTTCTAATATTTTGTATTTTTTTGTTATTATATTTTTCATTAAATTTTTGCATTTTGATAATAATAATTACTCACTAATATTACATATCACTACATATACATCTATCCATACATACACATATATTATTCGTTTTTATTCCGTATACTTAAGTACACGTTTTAAGGCAATGTGGAAACAATTGAAACATTTGTAATATTGCGAGAACCAAGAGACACGGGTGGTCATTAAGATATATGACCAACGAAAACATCGAGCTGAAGACTCGAGGCTCACCGGCAGAGAGTCGACGACGCGTCCAATACCCAGCTGAACGGCCGCTAACAAGGAACTCGTGTCGTCATCGTCATATGCTGCCCAGAAATGTCCACACCGCACCACCTAGTCGTCGCATGAAATAATCGAGCAGACGCTAAAGCAACTTCTCATCATGTTTGTTTGCCAAATATGCTAACAATTACGGTGCAAACGTCTTTTTGGTTGCATATACAATTAACTACGAGCATGGCAGATCGTGGATTTAATACGACGAAAACACTACCAAACTATGTAGCATCAAAGCTATGTGGCACAGCTATATATTTGCTTTATCTAGCTATGTGGTGGTCAAATGATATTTTTTGAGGGGTTTTACAGGTGGGTTTTTCAGTGCTGTCTACACTTAAATTAGAAATATTAGGCCACCACAACAAATTGGATGGAGACCAAGTCAAACACCTCCAAAATAAAGGGTTATCGAGGCCAGTTTAGTTTTAACAAATTGTATGCGTAACAAACAAAGACACATAGACAGCATGAACTATACAGGAAGGGCAGAGAGGCAAACCAGGCAGCCATGCCAGATTATTGCAACGGATATTATTCCATTTTCAGGGGTTTGCGGCAAGTAGGGCTACAACGAAATTTGCCATTGGTGCCAACGTGAAATTCGAGCAGGAGCGCACATACGTACATGTAGGGGGCGGAGTTTTACGCAGGAAGTGCTGAGCTTAGGTAGCGCCACTTGTTTGTCGCGACCGCCTCCCGACGCTCCCATGGCTGCATTCCGAGTCACTGCCGTAACCCTAGATGAGTAGTACGAGCAAACTCTAACGTCGCGAATAACAAGTGAACAGTGGCTGCCACACATCCTCATGACTTTCGCAGTGTGCCTGCGAGATTTCACTGCAGCTGATGTTCGCCTAATCGGCTCAGATATTCACGGGCAAAGTTTAATAATGGATGTATATTAATAGTTTAATAATGGATCTCGTAATACACTGACAGAACTGTACAATTTCTCGTTATGATTATACCAAAAGATTTGCGCTGTCAGCGACCAAGCACCTCTACTCTTATCTATCGTCGCTAGCTTTAGCTCTAGCAGCTTCACATGTGCGTAGAATCGAATATCAACAAACGCTAGTAACTATGGAAACACGGAAAAAAAACAGAGGGTTTTCCCCATAATGTTTCTAACATTTTTCTAACGCATTAAGTTTGAAAAAAGCAGTCGTGTCTGTTATCTCACCTGTTGGTTCCAAGTTGCAGAGATCGCCTCTGGTTCTCCGCCTGTTTTCCCATCTCTAGCAGTGCGTTTTTCACTACGTTCTTGTCTAGCATCTCTAGCAATAACCCTGGCATTTTCAGTTGCCTGTGAATACAAATATCGTTAAAACATTAGTAACAAGCGGAAACACACAGACAAGCAGGTAAAATTTATAACAGGTATATTTTACATGAGTAAATAAGATGCACATTTTTTCAATCACGATTATTACTCCTGATTTTGGTTTACCCGCAATATATTTTAATCCATACAAACAGCTCGTTAGCAACCTATCAAGGTGACGACACATGCAATAATGTGAATGCTATCAATACACCAGGTGCTGTCAGATCAAAAAGTAGTGCAACTAAATTTAAGAGCTGGGCACACAGGTACTTATCGGATGGTAAATCTGGTAAGTTGTCATAGCTTCTGAGGTGCCAGATTGTGCCATCGGATGTGGGAAAACGCATCCCAACACATGGCGAATGTGGTACAACGTACCAGTGTATCGACTTTAAAGAGAACATTGACGTAGCAAACTACAGAACGGTGACACGACTGGGGGAACGCAGCATGCATGCACAGAGACACATGACATTGGAACAGCGATGGAAAGCTATTTGAATGCAGGTATCTCTGCGTACTTCATCTTCACAGCTAGGTAGACGGCCTCGTTGATCCGGCTCACACGCCTGTTGTCCTCCGGCAAACGTCGCCCCGGCATGTCTCTTGATTGAAACTCGATGTACGCTCTGTAAAAACAAAGAGTCTACTCATATCGACAGCCGACAATGGTCTTCGTTATCATCGTTATCACCAAGTTCTTTCCTCTCAATTCCAGACATGAGCGAGGCTGGGAACACACGGTAGAGCCCTACAACAACCTCCCATTGTGTTTTACCAGAGTCACCGCTCCCCAGGGACACTTCCACCTTCACACGACCATTCTTTTTCCGAAGACTCCTTCCCTTCCCAAATGGAATCCCAGGACATTGTACCCATGGCACTCGAATAGGCGGTATCCACGGAATCTCTGGTTAGGAGTTTGGATGCGACTTACTTGGACCCTTCGAAGTGAGTCTTGAACGGAGACTCACAGTCCCGCAGCAGCTTCTCAATGGGCGATTTGTACAAGATATTTTCTTCTGCAGGCAATCCCCATATCTACAATGAGGAGCACGACAACGTCAGACAACAACAGGTAATTACCGAACATTTATCAGTGGACGATTATCACCACGTATTGTGGCAATCGATCAAGTAACCAAGCCTATATCTTCACACCTTAGCCAACCTTAGCCTATCACTTATACAGCCTTACAGAAAGACAGTGATCTGATTAAAGAGATTAAACGGGCAATCTGCTACGTGCACTACACACCATGACTGTCTTGTACGGGTCTTTTCCAGACAGCTCTTTCACGACACATGCCTCATCCAGCTCTCCATTGATGAAGTAGTGCGGGTAGAAGGCGCCACAGAGCACCATCTGTAGCGAACACCAAGAACATAGTGAGCTATACTTAGCGGTTTATTTTACTAACACACACTCATGGCACAGGCGCTTTCTGAATCTTAACATTCAACTGGCAATGCTATCAACCTGTGACCACATGCCTTTTGTAATCTCAAAATCCCAATAGCAATTATTCGTACGTTTGAAATCAGTTCCTTACATCAGAAAATGCAAGCAGCGTCATAACGGGTAAAGAACATCGACATAGAAATTACTGTACGAGTGTTTTTACTTGGAAATATGGAACCGGTTGCTTGGTTAATCATATACATTTATTCTTCAACCTTTCCACCTATACTATACACCTGCCTTTAAGACAAGAGAGTCTTCTGAGGCCATATAGTTACTAGTGGGCATCGACGGAGGGTGTATGTTGAAGTTTGCCAGCCTTTTCTGTAGCTCAGTTATCAACATCTCCGTCTGAAAAACATGGGTGTCAAATACTGCATGAAGATGCATAGAGTAACTTATCAAATTAGAGAGCACTCGCCTCGCCATCACAGAACAAACTCATCTGATGCAAGTTTCCTGCAGAAGTTATCTCATAGGGAAAGGCCTAAAACACCACGTCTCATATATAAATTTATAAAATAGTTGGCACAGGGCTAGTATGCCATCATAAGACGACTTACATGTTAAAACTGATGATTGTGATAAAACTAGTATTACTTAAAATGTTGTTAGGACAAGACGACAAAATAATACTTGGCAAATACAGCAAATAAAAAGACCATCGCGAATGCATCCCGCAACAAAATGTAAAAAAAAACTTACATCGTGCAGGCGTTTCATCTGGATCATGAAACTCCGACACCAGTTGTACTCATCTTGCTGTCGGCTCCGCCCTCCATCCGGTTTGAACTGCATGTGCCACAGCTGCAAGTACACACGATGACTTACGATGTGATATCACGCGTACAGCATGTACGCATGCAGGGGCACAGATACGCATGTATGCAGGGGTGAATATATGCACGCAGGTGCACAGACACGCACGCAGGTGCACACATACACTGACGTGCACAGACACATGCACACAATCACATACATAGACACATGCACACAGTAATGCACACAAACGCACGCACACAATTACATACACAATCACACACACAGACACATGCACGCAGTCACCCACACAGACACACACACACAGCCACATGCACACAGTTACGCACACAACCACGCACACAGACACACACACACACACACACAATCACATACAGAGAAACACGCACACAGACACATCCACACAGTCACACACACACACAATCACATACAGAAAAACACGCACACAGACACATCCACACAGTCACACACACAGAAACACGCATACAGACACATCCACACAGTCACGCACACAGAAACACACACACACACAATCACATACAGAGAAACACGCACACAGACACATCCACACAGTCACGCACACAGAAACACACACACACACACACACACACACACACACACACACACACAATCACATACAGAGAAACACGCACACAGACACATCCACACAGTCACGCACACAGACCCACACACA